ACCATTCAGGTTCTGGAAAACGAACCTGGATCCTCTGAAAGAAGAGTCAGCTGGGTAGTGATGCATACCTTTAATTCTAGCACTTGAGAAGCAGAGGCAGGGAGATCTCTGAGTTCGAGGCCAGCCTGGTCTACAGAGTGAGTTCCAAGACAGCCAGAGCTACACAAAGAAACCCTGTTTTCAAAAAAGAAAAAAAAAATCAAAAAACAAAGAACAGCCAGCATTAACTGCTGAGTCATGTCTTTAGCAAAGAAAATGACCTCAGGGGAGTGTATGGCCCATGTCTTAATCTGGACACTCAGGAGGCAGAGGCTGTGAGTCTGGGGCCAGCCAGAATCACTTATAGTTCCAGACCAGCCATGGTTACACAGCTGATGAGAAAGATTAAAATATTTAAATTTTCTTTATTTGTAGCTATGAGTAATATGTCCTGTGTTTTGCTTCTATAATCTCACATCAGCTGAATACCCGCCTTGGTAAAAAAAAACAAAACAAAACAGACAATTACAAAATAATTGTTCTAATGTCACAGTTTCTTTGGTATATGCTCACTCTTGGGTTTTAGTCATGCAGGCTAAAATTCAAACCCTTTCACCTCACCACTGTCTGTTGTCACAGGCTAAACCCACCAATAACAGAAAAGGTAGAAAATGATGCTTGCAAACTGTAAATGTAAACATGCACTGGGGCTGAGCGCCTCTGCTGGATCTGCCAGTAGGCCTGCCGGCATAATAAAGACAAATTCTCCAACTCTCCTTGTGTGGTTTGGTTGCAAAGGTCTGATTTACAATATATGGAAATGTTGTCACTGAAAGAAAAAGGAAGGAGGGGAAGGAGGAGAAAGAGAAGAAATAAAATTACCTTAAATTGAGCAAGGTCAGGAGTATGCTCTTAAAAGTATGTTTAGAAATAGGCTGACCCCTCCATGAAGATGTATATCCTCAGGAATAAAATCTCCTCGAATCCGTTGTTCAGAGAGACCACGGCTTTGGATATCACTCCTGTGTTCTCCTTGCCTGCTGAAAGTAATAAATCTTTCTCCACTCTTCAATGTTTTGGCTGTGCTTAATTTGGCTCTGCATACACCAAGATGGGAACCTACTACATTCACTTAAATTATTAATGTTGACACAAAAACTACAGCTCTCACCTCAAGGGGGTGGTGGTGGTGTTAAAGTTTATTCTGAAGCTAAATTTGAGTGATCATAGCCCAGGAATAAATATTCAGGTCTTCCCAAGCATAATGTTCCAATGTGGAAGCTGTTTCATGGAGTTTTAAAAATAGTAATAGAACAAAGAAAATTTGAAATCAAGGTTATCTAAAAATGCATTGGTGGAAACATTAAGTAGTCAGTTACAGACAGGGAAACCTCACCTATGAGAGCCATCTGATAGCATTCTTTTGATTGGTGGAGAACAGTGTTTTGTTAATACATTCCAATCATCCTTATCTGGCATCCAGGATGTTAGGCCTGACACAAAGGTGGGCCCTAAGGGCTCTTTAAGGGGCCAAAGACAATCCAAGAGAAATAACATCAGCATCATTTTAAACTCTTTAAAGTCCAAAAACGTTTTGCTAGTTGATCAGACTATGAAAACTGCTTCCTTCTAGAAATTCTGGTTTACACCAGCCAATAACACACTTTTGTTCTGTCTTTCCATTTTCTTGGGAGCCTGTCTAAATCAAACACACAGGGCAGTGAGTATGGGGGCACCCCAACTGTGTGAAGCATTCCATAAGTTTGTTTCTAATGCTCACTGTCGACTGTATCTCTTCCACCGAGTTCTAAACATCCTTTAACTGCGTGAGGGCTCGTTTTAAGGCTCGGTGTTTGTTTGCCCCCAACCTCAATTCTCCTGAAGGACAGCAGACCCTCCCTTTGAAAGAGAAGAGGGAAACAGCAAGCTCTAACATTAACTGATTAACCACCTTACTTAGGATATATTACGTTACATGAACTTAAGAAAACAGAGTAAGAAACTGTCTCTGATCTGATACAACAGAATGAAACCAAGCCCGTGGCTTCTAAACTTTGGTAAGCCTGCTTGTTTGCGCCTTGCTCTTCTCAACACCTGTTCTCCCCCGAAAAATGACCACCACCACCGATAGACAAAAAGTTCTGTTTGCTAAAGATAAAACTGTCTTAATAGAAACCTGCAAATTTCAGCTTCTGTAAAACTTGCTCAGCTCCTGGGAAAAAACCTTTTGAAGCAGGGATTAAAAAAGAGACCACCTTAAGACAGTCACAAGATTATGACAATACCTTACGGTTGTATGTAAACTGCGAAATGTTTCTGATCCAGGCTCAGTCTCTTTACCCAGTAACTAAAGACCACAACTACGAAGTAATGAAGGTCTTTCCTTGAGGATGTCCCACCCGCCTCAACTGGCAGCCTGGATAACCCACTGCGCCACCGGAAGTAAAGACGGTGCGGGGGAGGGTTGAAGAGGTTGGGTCCCGCCCACCAGCATCCTGCATTCATTTCTGCTTCATGCTCA